TCTCCTGAGGGTCACTTACGTTTCCTTTCCTTGAGAAACTAAGTATCTCCCCACTGACTGCTGGCCTCTTGGCTGTGCAAGACGTGCTGATGAAGCTGGGAGTGCTGCAGAAGCTAGTTTTTGAGTCAGTGTGCTCTCAGTAGAAGCCCTCTCTAGCTAAGACAAAAATCATAAAGTTAATAACGAGCTTTTAAAAAATCCTATTCGTTATTTCATATCCAGAAAAAGTGATGTTGCCTCAGTATTTTCCTGAGAGCTGTAGGCAGCCAACACCACCGACTGTTTGCAGAGATCAGTGAAACATCCTCCCGTGTTTCAGATTTACTAGACTGCTGTGCCAGAGCTGCTAGATTCTTTTCCTTTGGTGATAAGAGTTTGACCTTTAAAAGAAGTCTGTTGTTTCTCTCCTAAAGCTGAAACCCTGTTGATTGCTGTATGTCTGTGATCTAAGGCCTATGCTAATTTATAATGTTTTGAATGATAGTTAATTAATTATCTATTTGTCCTTCAGTGCTGGCTGTTTCTTTACTGATGATATTCAGAACCAGTCGATCGTTCAGGGTGATGCAGACACTTCCTCTGATACAGAGCTTCCGAGTGTGCCTGCCAACTCTGCCAGCGCTGCCCCGGTGGGAGCAGCAGTCAGCAGCAGTGGCAACGGCACAGGCAAGCAGGCAGCAGAAATATGTGCAGATTTGACTGTGGATCCTCCGGACGCTGCTCAAGAAGAAGCCACTGTTGCTTCAGCTAGTAATGAGAAAGCTAATCTTGAAATCCACAAATCTTCTACAAACCCAAATCCTTCGGCAGAACTGCAGTGGACAAACATTGACTTGAAGGAGGCCCAAAAGCATCCAGTCCTCTCCATCAGCACCTTTGCAGAAACGTCCAGCCTGTCTTCCCTTGGCATCTTCTCAGTGGGAGCTGAAGAACAGTACGGAGCCGATGAGCACCCGCTGTGGGCCTGGGTGTCTGGGGGAGGCTGTCTTGTAGATCTGCACAGCCCACTGAAATGGTTCACTGTTCCTTCAGGTACTGTCCAGTCACCACAACGGACCTTAATTCCCAATGCTCTTTAAGAAAAATGTTGGGGTTTTTTGAACAAAACTGTGGTGAAAACTTCTGGGAACCCATTTACTGCAGTTTGTTCATACACCGTGCCTGAGGATAGTGCTGCGTGTACTGAGTGTACAGCGCTCTGGGATCGAGATATGTAAATGTAAACCTGATACTTTGTCCGAGTTTCTGTACGAATTCTGAAACATAATCCGGCTGGATCTGCGTGTAGTTTGTAATTGCACTGAAACTGCAACTTCAGGCAAACCCCGTAACTCACTGAGCAGCACCTGAAAGCAGTGGAAAAGGCTCACCTGGGCGATGCAGATGCCGCAGACAACTGCCTCGCCCCACCATTCCCCTGAGATGAGGAGGTGGAGAAGTGCTTGGGGGGTTGTGAATGCGAGCCCAGCTGGTAACTGGATGGGGTTGGAAGTGGGCTTCCTGAAGGACAGTGGAATACGACCATATTTTCAAAACAAACCATGAACTGTAGCATCCCCCTCTTTAACAAGAGAGTAACTCTTAATGCATTGTATTGCCTAATTAACTTGCAGTTCAGTCACCCAAGTCCTGTTTTTATAAGGTTATAGCTTTGAAAGATTCTTTATGATCATCTAGTGATCACATTTCTGTGCAACATTTACAGAGTTCGGCTGCAGTACACTGACTCCAAAGTAGAATAATTAGAAAAATTATGTTTGGGTGGGTTCATCAGTCCAGCCCAGAGCAGCATGGTGTTTCGCCTTTCACGGAATGGTATTCAAAGCTCACTGGAGTTCTTTGGGTCTGGTTCTGTTCTAGGTTTGTCATCCTCTGTGCAATCTCTGTCTCTGTCTATCACTCCCGCACAGACAGCAGCGTGGCGAAAGCAGATTTTTCAGCAGCTCAGTGAAAGGACAAAGCGGGAACTGGAGAATTTTAGGCACTACGAGCAGGCTATTGAGCAGGTAGGCAACAACGACCCTTGTCTACTAAACACACCTGTCGGTACTGGGCATCACTGATCTGAACTCACTGCACTGTCAGCTTTATGTTCTCATCCTTACTTCTGTCTCTCACAACTCCCCGGGAGTATCAGTGTCTGGGCTCCCTTTGGGCAACTGGCAGCTAATCAGACACGGAGCCGCGATCTTTATCTAAAAACATCAGTTTCACATAGGATCAAATGAAGCATTGGTCAGCATTATTTGAGTACACTGAATCCTCAAATCTACCGAGAAACATTTGCAATAGTGGAACGTTGTATGAAATATTGAACCCCAAGATGAGGCTTCTTAACTGACACAGTGACTCAAGTAGGTGAACTTTACCTCTCTGCAACCCTTAAGGGATTAATGTCACGTGGGTAAATAAAGCAATGGTGCAGACGTCAATAGCAGCACCTTTGTTTGAAGTTCCCTTTGTTACGACTCCTTGGCTCTTCAGATTCATTCACATTTTTCGTCCCTTCAGCTAACTGCCAAATAGCATCTGCAATTCATTTGATTAAAAACACTTGGAGTACAGAGTTTTAATTGAGTTTTAAAAGATTACGTCAGAAGCCTTTAAAGTCCAAACACAAGTTGTGCTATAGCAGGAGCACAGTAGTCAATTAGTGGCTGTGTGCTACTGCACTCTTGTAGAGGTGAACGTGAATACTGATATAAATATGCTATTTTAGCACTTTTCTATCCAGTTCTGTCAGTTTTCATCATGTCTTCAGCTTCCTGAACACTCGGGTATACTCTGTGTCAGAATTAACTGATAGATGCAGACCAACCTGCAGCAGAGATTTCTTGTGATCACAAACACTAGTGTTTGGGAGAAAGGAGAGGAGTCAGGCAGTTTTCTTACTCCTGTAAATCTGTGTTTGCATTGCAGTCAGTTTGGGTTAAAACCGGGACCTTGCAGTGGTGGAGGAACTGGAAGCCTTATAAATGGATGGATGTTCGAGTGGCACTTGAGCAGTTCACTGGGAGCGACGGAATGCACGACAGCATCCTGTTCATCTACTACATGTATCATGAGGAGAAAAAGGTGTGTTCACCTTAAGACCCTTGAGAGAGTTGCATTTGGCAAAGGAAAATCTTGGAAGGGAAAACGGTTTTCTTAAGGGAGGCAAATTATGGTAGGCTGTTGTTTTGGGAACCAGTTCAAAGGTAGCCCAGGGTACTAGCAAACTGCAAGCCTTTCTGAGCTGTAGCTGTGTTGACGCTATGGCAGAAATCGCCAGTCAGCAACCACCCACATTGCTTAAACCATCAGCTCTGCACCGATTAGGAATTCTTTGGAAGTTCAGAATGTCCCTGATTGTGAAGAAAGAGCCAAGCTTGGCTGGCTAAGGCCTTCATAAATAGGGTTAATGCATGCAGGCAATATGAATCAGAGGTAGTGCAGGACTGGAAATTAAGCCCCATTCCCTTTACACCAAGAATTGGTACTTCGCTGTCCTTGGCAGGAATG